GGGGCAGGGTGATCGCTGGGGACGGGGCGCACTGGCAGGGGGCGGGGTGGGGCCCAGCAGCTCTGCAAACAGCCCCCGGTTAAGGCCGCCAGTCCGGTCCTCGGGCCGCCTCCCACCGGAAGGGCATTTATTGCCCATTTCGAAAATGGTCGCCGTGGCGTCACCGTCTGTGCGCATGTGGAGGAGCCAACTTTACTGCGCCCTGAGTGGCTGGGTCGTAGGTCACGGCCAGGAAAAGCGCAAGCGCCTCCGCGCTGTGGTGACGTCGCGGTGCTGGGTGCTGTCGTAAAGGGCCGCGCCAGCAGAAGAGGAAATGAGTCCCCCGAGCCTCTTAAAGGGACCGCGCAGCCCCTAGCGGGGGAGGAGGTACCGCGCCTCTCACTGCCAACCCGCTCCGCGTGATCCCCGCAGTGCGCCCCCGCCCGTATGTTCCCCAGCTGTGCGTACTCCCTCCTCCAACCCCCCCCTCCCGCCCGGGTGATCCCCGCAGTGTGCCCCCCCCCCCCACGCTTGCCGGATGTTCCCCAGTGTGCGCTCTCCCTAGATGTCCTGATTTTCTAGGCACAGGCCTGATATTCGGGGCTTTGTCTGATACCGGTACCTGTGTACCCCTCCCCCGGTCCCCATTGTTCACACTTCTCTCTGCCCCCCGAACCCCCCATCCCTTTCCACACGCCACTCAGCCTGTACACGCTCCCTTAGCTGTGGGATCCCCACTCATCCCCGTACACCCCCTCTAGGCATCTGGCTGCCCCACACCCCGCCGGCCGGCCCCCCTGTCCTCCCCATTTATTTGTCCATCCCCTTCCATCCCTTTATCCCCATCCACCCCCTCTATCTATCCCCACACACCCCATCCATCTATCTATCCATCCCCATCCATCCCCTCTATCTATCCCCACACACCCCATCCATCTATCTATCCATCCCCACCCATCCACTCTATCTATCCCCATCCACCCCATCTATCTATCTATCCATCCATCTATCCATCCCCTTCCCACCCCTCTGTCCCTCTATCTATCCCCACACACCCCATCCATCTATCCATCTATCCCCATCCACCCCCTCTATCTATCCCCACACACCCCATCCACCCCCTCTATCTATCCCCATCCACCCCCTCTATCTATCCCCACACACACCCTTTATCTATCCCCACACACCCCATCCATCTATCTATCCCCACATACCCCATCCATCTATCTATCCCCACACACCCCATCCATCCATCTATCCATCCCCTTCCCCACCCCTCTGTCCCTCTATCTATCCCCACACACCCCATCCATCCATCTATCCCCCCATCCACCCCCTCTATCTATCCCCACACACCCCATCCATCTATCTATCCATCCCCACCCATCCACTCTATCTATCCCCATCCACCCCCTCTATCCACCTGTCTGCCCCACACCCCGCCGTCCCGCCTGGCAGACACTCCACCCTGCCCCCCGCGCGGGTCGCCCTGGGTTCCCCTCCTCCCCTGCCCACACCAGCTCTTCCCACAGTCGCTGCCCCGCCCCCAGCTGTGCCCCCCACTCAGTGCTGGGAGGCGGGGGCGGGGTCCCTCTACTGAGCCCCCTGTGCCCCGCAGGCCTCGCCATGCTGAGCTGCCCCCTGCTGGGCTCCCTGCGCCTGTGCCTGGAGCGTCGCCCGCCCGTCGTCTGCTTCTGCCTCTGCCTCTTCTCATTGGCTGTCACCTTCACCGCCTTTGCCACCTACATCCAATCGCACGAGGTCAGGGATGCTGACGTCACCCAGGTCAGCACTGGGGGAGGAGACTTAAAGAGGGAGGGGGCATGAGGGAGGAGGCAGAAAGGGGCGGGGGGAAAAATGGACAGAGGGTGGAATGGGATTGAGGAGGTGGCGGAGAGGAGTGGGGGACAGGGCAGGAGGGCAAAGGGGGGGTGAAGGAGGGGGCCGTGGAGATGGTGGGGGACGAAGGACGGGGCAGGGGAGTGCTGGAGGGGGATGATGGAGGGGGTAGGGGGGAGTGGGGGACAGGGCGGGGGGGTCGTGAAGAGACGGCGGGAGTGATGGAGGGGCGGGGGTGCTGGAGGGGGACGATGGAGGGGTAGGGGGA